TCCTTTTTTTTTTTTTGGCATTTTTGAAAATAATTCAAATTAAACTTTCCATCCGAAAATTTTCATTCACTCAAAATTGATATTTTGTGTGGAAAAAATTGAATGCAAATGAAAAATGCTTAATCTTATCGTATGTTTACCATATACCATTAACGATAATGTTGCAAATTATCGGTGCTATTTTCAGTACTTAAATAATATGGTAGTACTCAATCAAATAGTCAACATTAATTGAAAAAAAAAAGAAATTAATTTAGTCAAATTTAATTCAGTTCAATTCAATTTAATCATAGTACATTGGCATTTACAAAAAAAAAAAAAAAAAAAGAAAAAACGAAAATTTTGGTTAGCTGAGGAAGGAGAAAAAAAAAAATCATTTTTTTCAATAAATTCATTTTCAGTTTATAAATTTTATATTCATTTCATAAATTCATCTTATAAATTCATTTTTTTTATCGTATATTTTACAGATTCATTTCATTGACTTTATAAATAATTATTAAAAATTTTATAAATTTTATTATTTTTTTATAATTCCATAATTTTATAAAATTTTATTTTTTTATAAAAATTTTATAAATTTTATTTTTCATAAACTTTATTTTTTATAAAAATTTTACATAAAAATTTTATTTTTATTTTTTTTCATTTTACAAATTCATTTTCAGAGAATTTATTTTGAAAAAAAGAAATATTAAAATTTTTTCTGCGCTGGATAAATAGGAAATGGAAAAGAAATGAATTTATCATTTCGAATTAACCATCAAATACTTATTACAAATTGTTAATTAACAAGTACTATCATTAGAAAAAGTATGAAGCTAATACTATTTCAGCACAATAAACTATCATTACCAGTAAATCTTCTATTTATAAGTTTTCTTTTAGTATGATAAGAAGTATTCGTACAATAAAGGAACAAGATACAAATTCACTTCTTTATATTCATATCAACAAAAAAGAAAAAAAAATAATCTTACTGGAACGGAAAAAAAAATTTCAAGGCTTCTTTAAAAAGTAAAGAAAAAAAAGAAAAAAAAAAATTTGACACATTCAATAGTTGACAAATTAACTAATTAAACATACCTACATGTTTAGTATGTGTGTATGACATCTTGTAATTGTAATTTTAACCTCATTTATCACCTGAAAAATCACTTGAATATTCACTTTCTTTTTTTCATTTAACAAATTAATTAGCACCTAAACTCATCAAATGAACAATATTTTTGTTGTAATTAGTTAAATTCATTAGATGAAGAAATTTTGATGATTTTTCGTTCCACTGTACCGTTCATTTTTCTTTTCTTTCTTTTTTTTTGGTTACAAATTGTTTGAATTTTAAGTTAGAAAGTTACAAATTGTTTGTAAAATGAAAAAAAAAAAATTCCAATTTTGTTGTCGTAAAAATGCTTTCGTAGTAATATCATTTACTAACTTCTCTCTTTTTTTTTTACTGAAAAATTTTTTTTAATTTCTTTTTTTTTCACCATTGATGTATTGCCGAGATATTGTTAAAATGCACAAATTACAACGACATCAAATTAATTGTTTACATAAATATTTAATTAATTGTTTACATAAAAACTTCAATAATCCATCTTCCATCATTTTTATCTCCTTGTTTTCTCTAATTTCTCTCTTTATACATATATGTATATATATGTAAATTATTAACATGTAAAATTTTTGCTCAACACAAAATATTTTTTTTTTTTAATTTCATATAAAGACAAAAATATCACATTTATAGGTTTATAATTTTAAAATGTTTTGAAACTTTGAAAAACATTAAAAACCAATATTTTAATTAATTTTATATGAATTAATTAAGTAATTCTCATAATATTCCAATTAATTATATGAAAATGGAAATAAAAAAGTATTTATTTTTTTTGAACTAACTCATTACTCTTCCTTTTATTTATGCGTAATTTATCAATTAATTGTTGCAATTCTTATTCCTATTCAGATAAAATAACATTCAATAATCATCACAGTATCATCTACAATATTTCCATATTTATCAATTCAAGTATTACATTATAAATATTCCAGACATTTCCAGTTTTCATTCATCATATAAAAATGGACATTGTCCATTTTTAGCTTAAATATTAAACTTATACATTCTAGGCATATAAGTTTATTATCTTGTACACTTTATCTAGTACAATGATATCATTGATATCCATTTAAATAATTTTCCCAAATAAGAATAATCTTACCAAAAATTTTAAGATATACAAGAAAGTATAATTAGAATCTGAAAGAGAAAAAAAAATGGTTGTAATCAATATATTTCCATGTATTTTTATTTCATTTGCATATTTTAAGCACTATTTATATTACTAAAAGAATTAAAAATCTCTTAACAATAAATAAATAAATTAACTATTTACTATCATTGTTGTGGTTCGAAGAAGTTTCATTCGTTTGCCTATCGCTATGTGATTTTACAAATTTGGTAAATACCTGAATTTGTAAAAACCAGGTAATGATAATGGATGAAATATAAGTTTGATGATAAGATGCATTATGTATCGTATAACTTAACTCTACATGTAGTTTAATCCAGGAAATAATAATCTTGTTTGGCAATATCCTAAATGATTAAGTAGCACTTTTCAAGGAGAGTACTGGCTAGCTTTACATGGAAGGATTCTGGAAAAAGTTATCCAATCAAAATTTATCTCTCATTGTATTGGTTAATCATGGCCAACGGGCATTCATTACTTAATACAGATAGCCAAAATGTTTAGAGATAAAATCTCCATTTTGAATAATTGATAATCTAAACATTCCCAGGCTCTCTTTTAACATCAGCCATATAGTCCAAGAGCCATATAATCCAAGATTCAGTAATTTAGCACATTACATAATAATCGATGAAAAAAGCACTACATACAGTCCCTACTACAGGAGAGACTTGTAAGGCTATACAGTAGATGAAAACTGGTAATGAGGTTGATGGAATCCAACCTGAAATCTGAAATCTTACCTGAATGGGATCCCACCTGAAGACTTTTTTTTTTCTTGAAAGTCAAACACTCTATACTAATTGCTGAGAAAAAGATGAACCTCTACCAGATCTCTGTGATGTAACTATTATCACTTTATAAAACCAAATCACCGAGGTATTACTTTACTCTCTATTGTTAATAAAATCTTTAGATGAATACTTTTGAATAGATTAGCACTCAACTATCTCAGAAGAACTTCTACCTGAAGGCCAATGTGATTTCAGAGCCCATTGTCAAGAAACATTTTGTAGGTTTATTTTTGTTGTTTTAACTCCACAGCGTTGATAGCAATCTTTTTATTGGTCTTATACGATATAATACAATACCGTACTGAAGCAATAATAGGGGCGAAATGAACAGTACACAAGAAGTATTAAAGAATACCAAATGATCTTATCGTTCGTGCTGTGTTTGAACTTATCGTCGTCGAAATTGAAAGATTGACTGTAACGTTTGCATTGACTGCTTGCGCAAGCTTTCAGATTCAGTAATTTGATATCTTTTCGACTTCACCACTGATACTAATAGAAGTATTACAGATATAATATTTGTTCTCGGGCTATTGCAAAAGATATTCAGGAAATAGAACAAAGGAATCTATACAATATTAACAGATTTCACCAAAACTTTTGACACTGTAAGCAAAAGAAAAAAGACTTATAGAAGATTTTGGAACAATTAGAATATCCTTCAAGTCTGTCACAATAATTATCCTGTTAGATGAGAGTGAGAATCAGATGTCGATACACTTCTTCAATCCTTCCCGAAAACTAATAATATGAAATAATGTTGCGTTCTCATATTAATTCCATTCCAAATCTTCAACATGATGATCCAAGGATGCTCCAGTCATGGTAGATTCAATGAAGAAAATGACATTTACATTCGATATCGTAATGATGGAAGTCTATTCAATCTAATGCAACTGAAGTCTTCACATCAAAACCCTTAATCACTACGTTCAGAAGGCATTTTTAACCGATAATAGCTTTTAACAGTTGGTAGACACAGAAGCACTTTTGCAACCATTAATATATTGTTTCCAGAAATTTCGGAGTTTTTTGAGCTCGAAATTAGTTTGAAGAAGGTAGAAGTTCTCTACCAACTTCCACCATAAGAAAATTACCATCATCCCAACATGACAGTTCCGACCTAACAGTTCAGCTATCTGGGTAACCATCATCTCCTTGGACGTCATTGATCGACAAAAGAGATAAACAGCAGTTTAGCAAAGGTATACAGACATCTGATGATGAAAAATGTAAAGATTCCTGCCTACAAAGCTACTCTATTGCCTACTCTTTTATAGATGATTTATCGATTAACTATAACTACCATCTGCGACTTCTCGAGTGCCTCCATCAGCACTGTCTCCATACAATTCTATACAACCGCTGAACTGACTACGTGACTAATGTTACTATCTTTGATCAGGCAGAGGTCACCAGTGTTGAGGCCATACTTATCGCCTTCCTAAGATTGTGCTCCATGGCGAATTTGACACCGATTGCCGCAACAGAAAAGCTCAAAGCGATACAAGGAGTTCCTGAAACAATACCTTAGCATTCGCCAAAATGGCTATATTATTCGTTCTGGCTATCAGTTTGGAAAAATGGAGACATACTATCCATAACGCTGCTGTCCGCTTTAAGAACACGAGCAGAATTAGTAGTTTCAATGAGAAAAGGCAACGCAGAAACAATCTTAGCTATCAGCAATTTACAATGATATCATTTCCCATATCTTCATTCGCGAAGCCTATCCCTGATGATGATTGAAATTCAACACTTCCTTATTTAAATTTAAATGCAATTCCTCAAGCGCAAATAAAACTTCTTCGAAGATGTTTGAGAGATGTACAATTGAAAAAATATGCAGCGCATAAGTTCATTTTGAAGTTTTTGTGTTAACAAAGGGAAGCTATTAGTATTATAAAAAAACCGAGGTTAATCTATGGCTGTTAATATCAAAAGCGATTCAGTTATCCAGTTTCATAACTGGACAATTTCAAAAACTTATGTTAGCATTGCTTTTTTTATTACAATAAATTAAAAAAGTAGAGAATTTCTATAAATATATGAACTTCTCAAATAAAATTAAAATGGAAATCACCATAAAAATCACCTTCGTTCAAGAAATAAAGCAATGGAAGCCTTATTTCCCATTATTTACGATCAAATAAGATATTGTATGAATTATCAAAACCTTTCACAATCTGCATCAATTACACTTATTTTTTTTCCCAGAATCAAGCATCTTTTTCATATGTAGTTTGCATATCTAAACTTTTAAATCGAAAAAAATAAACTTTACTATCAGCATATGCCATATTTTTCCGGTTATTCGCGGAAAAAAAAAGTGGAATACACCTTGCCACTATATCATTATATAATTATAGCAAGAAAATTTACAATTTTCAAAAGTTTTTTCGTCATTTTCAGCTACAACTACAAATCTTTATTTGCAAATTGGAAAAAACTGCTCTAGGAGAAAAAGAAAGCTAATTCCTAGTTGAAAACTATGGTATAGATATTCATATCACCTATCAAATATAGTCTTACCAATATATAACTGGAGTCGAAATTTTAATGTCCTATATCAAGTTATTATTCGCTCATGTCCAGGACGCAAAGCGAACGAAAATTAAGGACAAATATGTATTGAAAAATAAGGATAGTCGGAGCATGTTGAAATTCCTGGATATTTGTAGAATCAATATATTCTTCGAGATTCCGTGAAACCTTTTACCATTCACTAAGTCAATTTCAGCAACAAAATTACCTCTTTATCAATACTTCCTATAAACGATTTAGACATTAATCTAGAGCAAAATAAAAATAGTTAAGGCAAGGATTATAGAAAAAAAATATTGAAGGATTTTAGGAGGGAAAAAAATTAAAGCAAGGATTTAGAAGCCAAAATAGTTACATTTAAGTGTCAAATATGTTTCTAGATTTTATGTAACAATATGAAATACTTCAATTTGAAGAAATGTCCCAACCACCAATTTTATCAGTACTTTTCATACGCATTACAATTAATATCTTAATGCTTTTACTAACCTCGCCATTCGGTAACGGCACAATGAGTATTTCTGCACTACAGTGATCTCGCACAATTTCTCGCCATGTCCTCCGATAATCCAGATCTTTTTCTGGATTTAATGGAGCACCATAAAACGAGCCAACAATCTGTGGCAGTGCTGACAGCTGAAACACAGACATATACGTAAGAATTTTTTTTCCATATTTTGACATCCGCACAATATTTCGATCAATACCTCATACATTTAACCTCTAGCGCTATAATCTTTGAGTTTCGGAAACAATAAAATCTACCGTAAAAACAATACGTACAAGTTTCACTAAAATTTTATATGACGACGCACTTTCACTAAAATTTTATATACGTACTTCACTAAAAATCATTAGAAATTGTGCAAATTCGAAACAAACAAACTTGACCATTATGAATCTCGAATGAAATTGAATTTATTCCTAAAAGAAATAAATTAGAGGAACTACAAAATACCAACCAAAACTGGATTTGGTGATCGTACATTCACTAATAATTCTATCACTTCCGCTAGTTTCTGGACTGCGTTTTTTCCTGAAAAGTATCAAAATTTAAATACCCGTTAAGTGCAGAGAAAATGTTTTGGTATCACAACAAAGCATTTTAAAATACTAATTTCTGCAAGTGGTTCTATCTAAAGGACCGCTAAAACTCCATTTCTGAACATTGCATGTGAATGTTTCCGAGATACAAATATTTAGATTACTCCAAAATTGAAAATACATTTCTGGAAACTTCAAACAGTTCAGAATCCACTCGATGAAAAAGTTATGCTGTACGAAATCTCATAACCGATTGTTTGAAAATTGTAAGTTGCAATAGTGATTACCGAACTACGACATCCCAATTCATCAAGTAAAACTTCCAGCCAATTTTCGTCAGTTTGTGTTCCTTTTGGTAACTACAACATATGCACTGATTAAACCTTCAACTAGCAAAGATAAAGTATAAAAACATTTGGAAAGTAATTCAGATGTAGTGAAGAACGAAGTGGCACCAGTAAATCTTAAAGCAATAACTCTTTGTGAATGATGCATAACTAAATGGAAAAACTTATGTTAAATGAACCTGTGCAATTTCTTTAATAGAAGGATGGGGAGAAAACTGGGTAGGTGATATGCCCCTCAACGTAGTACGTTCGTCAGGATAACCTCGACCATATCTAAAAATACAGATTATATTAATACTCCTAACACACCCAAATATTATTTTCCAAACTACTAGTCAAAGCATAACGCAAAGTGCATTCTTTTTGCTATGCTATTTTTAATAAATATGCCAAAACATACTGCTGAAATCGATCCGGTTGATAGGAATGTGATTGTTGCACAGATGTTGCCCAAATATTGTCATGAGAATGATCTGCTATTATAATTAAACTTGTGATTAATATCTTAATCCAACAAAAGGCAAAACTTCAAACTTTAATGAAAATCAAAAAAAGCGAAACATCCGAGTCCTCATCCCAATAAAGTGAAACTTATGCTCTCACTGACCATAGAGGGACAAAAATGGCCAGCAACATTTACTCAAGTAATCGAATGCACCAAGTAAGCTATAAAACGGTTTAGAAATTGCATCTCGGTACAAATGCCAAAAAGCAACAGCCAATAATGGAATGATCCATGGAGAAGTAAACTAAAAGTAGCTGCAAAAAACTCACTTAAAGACGGCTTTTGAATATTTGCACTTGATTTGGGATAACTGCTAGTGTTTTCGCCTGCTGTAATAATAGATATAGAAGATACATTATTGAATCTGGTGCAGTGGACTCTACAAGTTGCTTACTTCCATCAATATACTTGGCAAATTTAATAATTGTAATCTAAACAGTATTTGATTTCTATTGATTTTGTGTGATCTCTTGTGATCAGCATATTTCTATCAATAGCTCCCATCATTATTGCAAGCAGAACTTCTAAGTGATAACAAATACATCAATAAATGTGGAATGTTCTCCACTACTAACTTTACCAAATGACTATCAACAATACTAAATAAAACATTGAAACCATTCCCGTCCTTGAAATTGCCCATTTTCACATAACAAAAAGATCAAATTTAAATTAGATGATATTGAAAATCTCAGGCAAGATCAACTGATTACAAACTGCAATCGTAATCAAATCGATTGCAGTTCTATTTTAAACTCCTACCATATCTAAAATCTTACTTTGATGTGAACTTTGACCAGTGGTTGAACTGGGAACACTGTATGAACCGTATGGTACTTTATTAAATTCCTAAAAATATATCAATTTCAAAACAGCCATGCAATTTATGCCAGGAAAAATAAAAGCCTAGTGCAATAATTCTATCAGATTATATATCTCTGATTACGAGATGTTATGCTCTCGATAGCGTTTAAAAGGAATCTTTAATCCCATATGCTTACTTAAGCTTACTTAATATGAAATAATAGGATGATATATCCTACTGTAATGTTTTCCTCTAAAATACACAACAGTGACAACCTTAAAATATTGCCATACATAACCTTCGAATTACCTCGATAAACCCCGAATTAAAAGGAAGAGAGTAAGTGAAGGAAGTAAAGAATGAAATATGGGTGCAGTTGGCAAAATATGAAAAGATACACGTACTCGATATAAATCAGACGAAAAAAAGCGATTGCTCATGATAAGTGAACAAAATACGGGCAAGATAAATTAGAGATGTGACACTGAAATTCATATGAACCATGTATTGAACAGAGATCTCAACACAACGCTTTCTTGCAAACTGCGCGCATTTCTATTGCAGTTGCATGATGCCGAAAATCTTTCCCTCCTACAACGATATGGAAATTTTATTAATTCACTGAATGAAATTTGCATAGCCTAAAAGACCTACATTTTTCGGCATGCATACAATGCGTGTATTTAATTCATTTATTTATCAATATTTCTATCACTTCGTTAAACATTTTTAACGAAGAACTTATTAAAAAAATATCGTTGAAATTTTTTTTATCAAACATATATTTTATAATAGTTAAAAAATAATAATAAATGAAAATGTCATTTACTGTTAGTTACGTTTTAATTAATGATATTTAGTTGTTTGTCACCTTCACATTCGTCGACCACCAAATTTTCAAGCAAAAAAAGTTCCCGTAAATTGGAAATAGGACTCCTCCCCTTGTCGAAATCTAATTTCCAAGAAAAAACATAACGCGATACCAGAGAAAAAAGAACATTCAAACGAGCTGTCCCCTCTAACATTATCCATATTGAAACATGCATGTATACAAGTAAATATCTCACCCTTCATACCACTCTCTCACTCATCTAACCAGAAATATATGATTCATTTGAAAACAACCAGAGCAAGAGCGCAAGAGGGAGAGGTGTGAATCTTTGTCGGTTTGCTTGGAAAAATGCAATCATTTCTCTCTGGTATAGTTCCTCATTATCCCGTAATTTCATGATTTCACGAGCGGAAATTACTAGGAATCATGACACTGATCATTGTTCCAGTGATAACATATCAGCCAGAATTGAGTTATCGAATTGCTTAGTACATTTACACACATAAAGACCATCAAAAATTATGATGCAATTAATTCTTCTTGAAAATTTGCAAGAGAATAGGATAAAAGCAACAGGGTACAAAGTCAATGATAACGTTGCTTGCGGATGGTCAAATGAAATGTTGTAATTTTAATGATATATTAAAAGCTCTTTGACAGTTCAAAAACCGACAAATCTCATTCTCATGTTCCAATATGAGATTGCAGTTCCAAGTAATTTTACATTTTATAAATCGAACACATTCCACACTTTAATATCATCTTATGTACTTTTATACATTACAACTTTACCGCATTTCTTGTTCTTAATCAGCCAAAGACTTGGAGACTTGCAAATACTTTAAAAAAAAAGTATTACATACGTTCTAACGTTTCCTAAAACTTATGCTACATAGAGCCTGGGATTTTAATTTTTGATTTTAATATTATTGGACAAGAATTCAGTCCTATTTCCTGTTCCTCGCTCAAACTGCTTTTAACAGATGATACACAGAAAAATCAACTACTTCACCTCTTCCTCACGATCAAATTGAAAACCGTGACGTCCAGATGTCCGTATTCCGTTGTATTCCTCACTATGCTCTCTGTTAAATACTGATTGAGAAGAACTGTGCATCTGAAGCATGAAAATTTCACCCCATCATACCTAAATAAAAAGCAGCAGCTCAGCAAAACTGTTCAACTTTCTGTTAAATATAAATTACTAATATTCGTTGTGAAAGTTGAATTTCATTTGATAGGTTAGGTACACACTGTAGTGGTAATTCGCACATGCGATTTACATTGCGGAAATCGGCGAGTGTAATATTAGCCATGAGTAAAAGGGCTATTTTGTAACAGAATTTAGCCTACATTCCTGCTGAGCGAAAACCACTCAAGTATACATCCAGCAAATGATTCTTCAGGTTGACGATAAAAATTGATCGGAATGTTTAAATGATGATAGACTGTCCGATATAAAATGATTCTGTCTTGATGATACTTAGAAAACAAGGACATAACTGACCTGAATCAGTCCTGCAGAACTTTTATTGTTAAAACCAGTAGCCGATAACGGGAACCGATTAAGCTCTTTGGGATGCGAATGACTGAGTGATTGGTGCAAAGAACGTTCGGCAATCGATGGACGTCTTTCCGACTGCTGAAAAAACAAGAACTGGTTTCAAGAAAGATATATCTTATAAGTAATTAAAATCAGTTCTTGATTTTCAGTTAAGATAGGTGAGATCACGAATGGATTGATGGAATTCATGAAAAATATATGCGTGGTACCAAACTTATTCACAATATGCATTAAAGAGTTGAGTTTAGCTCACATTAACGCTTAGGAAATTTTAAAAAATATATGGTTAAAAACATGACGAAAACGCAAAAGTGTATAGGCATAAATCAGCGTTTCTGTAAAGAAATGATGGGAAAATAGTGATCATCAAAATAATCAATATGGGATGGTGTAATATTCCACAAGCTGTTAAAAAAATTTCAAGAAACTTGATGGGGAAGCTATCTCATTTGTGAAAAAGTGCCCTTCCACCTCTTGAACATAACAGATGCGCCTCAACATGAAATTTCATTTATTTGGATTAATTTCCAACATATTATAAAATAACATATTTTTCTCCAGAAAATAAAAAAATAACACTAATCTTGTTTCCAACACTATCCATCAATCGTGCAACCTGTTCGACTGGATTAGGATCTTTCCTTGAGTGACTTGAGCGACCTCCAGCTCCATCTACGTAAGTTGTTTGCATCTAAAACGGTATGAAACAATAAGCTAACGAGCAAATCAAAGTGGAATTTATTTACTGTTTCTCACATTTCATTAATGTCATAAGTTACAACTATTCTTTTCTAAAATCCTGCTAAGATATGAAAGTAAAGTAGTGGTCTGACAACGTTCTGCTTTTAACCTAACTTTAGTGTTACAAATTGTGACTATTCTTTTCTGATATTACAGTTGACTAAAAAAAATGAAAGCAAAAACGGAGAAACTGTTACAGCATGAATCCTTGATTAAGTTATTTGTGCAGTCTCCTAATAATCAATGGTAGTTTCTGATAACCACTAAAATGGATTTTATGGGCAAATAATAGCTTTATGTAATAAACAAAAATTTCTTACCGAAGGCTTAACTTCTGGAGATGTTGAGGAAATGTTGAACGTATTTATATTTCCTTTGAATTTCTTTTTTTGGTATTTTCTAGAAACTTTTACTTCAAAATCGCTACTGTCAGTAGATTCCTCGTCACCTGTATATTTATCATCACTCAAGTCGAGTAATTCCTGTGAAAAGCTTTTAATATAATAGGATAACCGAAATTTAATAACCTTCAATCACAAATTTTCAGATTGTTGATCAAAATTTCAATTTCCAGATTAATCACAAATTTTCAAATTTTCAGATTATTACTGTGATATAAGTGAAAGAATAACTAAATATGTAAAAACATATTTTCTATTCTTATTTTATCCATAATATAAAGCCTCTTCGAGAAAACATAAAAATAAGAGTAACAATTTGATTAATATCAAAACATAAAAGACTTCTTAGTCAAATAGAGAAAATAGTATGCCACTCATAGAGTAGTAAGATAATAATAGAACATGATTATAAAGCAAAAAAATAACTAGTTTCAACGATTAAAAGTAGCTCTGCACATCTTCCATCGCAATATTTGGTAATACTACAGTGACATGGTGAAAAAGCTCCTGCATACTTTTTCCTGTACAGCAGAAACTTATTTGCGATGAAAATTTCGGGCTAAAAAACCTACCGATCTTCTATTTGTTTTATCAGAACCATCTTCTTGCACGCTTATTACTTTACTCTTATCAGCTGGCATGCCTATCGCTTTACCCCCATCGTAAAGCATCACGCTGTTAATTCTATCAGCATTCTTAATGTCTTCACGTTGCTTCTCACTGTTTAATAGTCTATCATAATCCTCTTTTACTTCTTCGAGCAAACTCATCGTAGGTTTCTGAAATTAATATGATGAATGTATAAGTAACTAATATAATGGTACATAATGAATCGCCAAATGAAGCAAACAGGAAGTAATGTGACTTGGAATTGCATTCTTAAAACTTCATAAAATATAAAGGTTTTTAATTATGCATCTCAGCTTAGATTAATTAAACTGCCTGCATTTTTTAATCAATTACTTGAAGAGATAACTAATATAATTTCAATAGAACTTAATTCATCATTTAATAGCAGGTACTTTTCTTTAAATTCATTCCCACCACCAACAGAGAGCATTTCTATTACTATATTTTATTAAAAACTTTCACTTCTCCTACTTTGAATATAATGAAAAAAATGCGGACACAACTATGACCCCGTAAAAACCAGCAGCGATTCCTTTTTTTTAGATGAGTTTTTAAGTTATTGTTTCAGTTTGTGGGCCTTTCTGAAATTTTCGATAGTAGAGGAAAGTCTAGCAATTCCACAAATTTTCATTTGATATGAATCATCCCTCCAAATACTTGAAGTATTATAAAAGGTTTTTGAAGTTTCAAATTCGAACTGATTCCATATTTTGTTCAAAAACGAATAATAAGTGCATCTTTAACTAGTAATTCCTCCAAGAAAAGCTACTCAAAAAGACAACAGCAATTCGTTCTAGTTAGAAATAGTTATATATATTATTATATTTACCAATTTTTTCACTGCTGTAAAACATGTAGGAAAATCAGTTTAAAGGCTGAATAACCGTGTTGGATAACTGCTTATAACAGATTAACTCCAAAATATTTGTACCTCATATGACTTAACAAATATAGTAAATACTATTTAGTAAAAATAATCCTTTTTTTTGGATTGAATCTCTTAATGAATGTGCTTAATGAATAAAAAGAAAAACGATATTACATTTGATAAGATATTTTAAAAATGATTCATCATCAGCAAAAATCGAAACTCCGATGACTGCATTACTTATAAGTAGGTAATGAATTATGAGTTATTACCTTCGAAGTACTTCCATTAAGGACGGCAACAACTCCTGGATATTCCACTGCTCCTGAATAAGATTAGATTTTCGTAAGCATTCAAACAGAAGTTTTTTTAATTTCATTGCACTACACCAAAGACTGATAGTATCAAGTCAATTTTGATGCATGGAAGACAAACAAGGCTGGTGAGCATCGTGTAAATTTCTACTGCGAATATACTGCATTACAATGAAAAAATATCACAATTTTCGGATGTAAATGAATCATATTTGATAGAGTTTAATTAAAAATTACCCCATTCCCTACTTCACAAATAATAAAGGTGCGGAATAGCCCATTTTTTTGCTGGACTTGATGCGCTGTATTCTCGGTTAACTTAAATTCCCCAAAATATACTTCCTATCATGCTTTCATAGTGTTTGAATCGTTATCACTTCATTACTATACTGGAGAATAAACCTAACTTACTTCCCTTGTCTACAACATTCGATGCTGATGGTCGACACTCCAAAGCAAATGTTGGAAGTTCAATTTTATCGATGTTCGCTAACAGATGCAGATCATCTGTTATTTCCTCAGGGACTGAAAAACGTGGACGTTAACTTAACTCAAAAATGTCATAGAGTCGAAATATAATAATTGTCAAAATATAATGATTAAGCTCAGTTTTTCCATAAATTTTCTTTTTATATACTTGTAAAGCGAAGGAGGCTTAAGTGGATTTCATCAATTAAACATCGAAATTCATTATTTATCACCTTATCAGTGCCATTCACAGAAAATGATATAACTCTTGAGGAGTCTTCCTATTGTGTGATAAAAACTAGGCAAAAACGAATAAAATAAAGAAGTACAAGGAATTACCAAATACAAGAACCAACAACTGATTCATTAAGAAAAAAGACTGTCATTGATTAAAAAGTAGTGAAAAATACCTACTTTGTATATTTGGATTTCTGAGTCTTACTCGAATAGGACAGTCATTAATTAAAATAATTTCTCGATAAAAAACGCGCCAAAAGTTTTTCAAGGCCGATTTATTCATGAATAACCGTTGGTGCTCCTGAAATGAGATTTGCTGAAAATTAATACCTAAAAACTTTTGGAAGAAAAACAGTGAGTACCAATCAGACTGAAATAAGCAAATTAAATTAAATGAGTTCAAAAAAGTATAACAAATTGAATGTTTAATAAAAATAGAATCATTACTAACTGCAGCATTTAAACTAGTGCTATAACGTTTCATGTATTCATCCCGTATAGTTTGATAATCAATTTCCGTTTTGTATGCTTTTAAATCCAGCAAAATTTCCAGAATGCGGCGTTTACCCTAAATGTAATATATGAAAAATGCAAATTTGATGCAGTCTTCGCTTAAAAAGAAAAATTTGGCAACTCCCTTCAGTGTCGATGTGTCGATGCTTTGTAATATATAAAATCTGTTTGTTGCTTTCGGCAATAAATTATAGAGAACAGGAATACCAGATGAAGTTTAACACATTTTTCTTTTTCAGATTGTCCCAACTCATATAAGAAAAAGTCAAGCTTATAAAGTTTTCTAAACTGCAACAAAATGTGTAACCTCGAGGAAATTCCGTGAATTTTCTGGGTTCTTTAATTCCATCAATCTTTGCATTTTCCGTTTTTTAGCTCTGAAAATTTCAAACCCAAGTTGGCATTCAATACTTATACAAATAATTCTTATTTCACTTGATTAATATAAGAAATTTTTCCAACATGCTATCTATCTCCTTGTGATCTTTGAAACACCACTGAATATCAAAAGACACGCAACATTTATCAAAGCTCGCACCTTATTTGAAGCTTTTTCATTTTTCAGTAGGATAACGTGTCACAACAAATTTTCCATATAACACAGAAAAAATTTACCTCTGATCTTCGTTCAATCTACAATCAGCAACTCGTCGAAGAATATGCTCATTAGCTGGTTTAGAGACTGCGCCGTAAATGGCAACACCATTAACTAACGACGTCTGTTCCACATACTCTTTCATGTATTCTGATTTGAGTAGTTCTTCAAGATCAGGGAAACCGAGCTTGATTGCCTGCTTTTCCAACAAAATCGTCCAATCATTACTACAAGTTGAAACAAAAGTAAGAAGTTGTACAGTGTTAGTCCGATCATACAAGATTTTAATGTTTTGCATAGAAAGAAGGGTATAGATGAAATGGATACCATTCTAATGACAAACATTTGGTAAAATTCGCGCATAACTGATGAAAAGAATGTTAATTAACCAGTACTGAGAAGATGTAAGCATACAAGGTTAAAATGAAAACGATACGGTGGTAGAACTATCCGCTAGCAAAGGAGACAAAACTAGTATAAACAGAGCTTAAACTAATTAATGTGATCTTCAGACTTGATCTTTAAAGAGTGATCTTTAAACTTGAAACTATTTGTTACATTCTCGACAAAACTGTTTTTATCTATCAGAAACTCCTCGTAATGTGAGTACTTCTTAGACGGAATAGACTGACTTTTAACCTTTCCAGCTGAAATGAAATTAAGAACCATGGTAAAGAACTCTATTAAAAAGAAATAATAACAATATTTGAGCACATACAAGAAATGAGCGTTTAATCGTGCTGCATTAGCACCATCATAATCGCTTGCTAATGTAGAATTAAGCATCAAACCAAGTTCATGCAGTTCATCATCCAATTCAAATATCACATCATCATCCGAAAAATAATCGCTATTTCCAGCAACAATAAACTGAACATTGTCATCATACATATCGCTTTCATCCTCAAAAAGCACATCAGTTGCGTCCACAAATTCATCTTCCTCTTCCTTTTCTGCAAATGAATCTAACCTTCTACACAGAATAATAAATAATTTGCATATTATAGGTTAGTAATAGTTTTTTTCAAAATTTGCATATTTGAAATATTACTGTTTTATTTACTAATTTAATTGTAGTAATTTCATTTGAGAAGCGGATAAACTGAGGAATTGGTACAGCAAACGCTATATCGTTATGACGTAACGTTTAATTTGCAGTGGAATAATTCATACTGTATGATTTAATACTAATATCACATTCACAGTATTATTATTCATCATTTTGAGAGTTAAATGATGCCATTATAAGTTCTCACTTGAAATGAATGTATAACCAAACGATAAGAGTTATACATAAAAAACAATTAGTACATACAAAAATAATGGAATCGTAACACTTTGTGAGGAATATGTTGGACATGTGAAGTTGAAAATAACCTTTATAAAAAGGAAGTAAACTATAAACTGTTATCACCAGTAGCATTGCAATAAGTTCTATGAAAAGAAAGTAAACTACAAACCGTTATCAATAGTAGCATTGCCATCATCCTCGATAGTTGCTCTGTTCATCGAATTTGAAATCATTTTAACCAACTGCATCATTTCTGAATAAATTAATCCTTTAGCTTGAATGGATGATAACTCTCATTTCAAATATCTATATCACCCTTGATATGGATATTTGAAGTCTTCAACAAACTGTAAACTGATAATTGATAAAGTATAAATCTACGGCGACGTAAGTCAATGCTTTCTTATTAAACGTACTTGCGTTAAGAAACAAAAAAAAAAAAGTTAAACTTAAGAAATATTGTTATCATGTAGAAAATGATTAAACTAGTACTGTCCCAACGTATAAACATCACTTATTATCATACTAAACGTTCATGTTCACGAGATAAATAATACATAAGTAATATTTTTATCATAATGGGAAAGAGATGCAAACCGTGAAATACCAACCTCGGGATAGAACCCCCGCGAGATAAGGGTGTTAGTTGTGTGGTGTAAGCTGTTTGTAGGTCGGGTATTTGACTATCGTCATGGTAACATGTCATTGGTTATTTTCTCCTATGAGTCATAAGTTTTATAAATCAATTTGACGTGATCCGTGTAACCATGAAAAGAAGAAATGCTTTTTCTTGTATCACGTGTAAGACGTGTATACTTTCCGTGAAAAAAAAAAACACTGCAAATATTGAAACCAATAAAAGAATCCTTCATGAAACAGCTCAAAAAATAGTCTCTCTTATATTTTCATGTGATCTATCACAATATTCAGGTAATTGACATTATTTGTTTGACAAAATCACGTCATGACAGACGTGAAATTCTCGTCTTTCTTGTTTGCTAAAATCACGTCATGAGAGACGTGAAATTCTCGTCTTTCTTGTTTGCTAAAATCACGTTATGAGAGACGTGAAATTCTCGTCTTTCTTGTTTGCTAAAATCACGTCATGAGA